TGTTTTGCGAAATGGTAGTGTTTTTATTTCTTGAATGGTATTGATGTTTTGTGAAATGGTAGTGTTTTTATTTCTTGAATGGTAGTTTTCGTGTAATGGTATAAATTTATTTCTGCAATGGTAGTTTTCGTGTAATGGTATAGATTTATTTCTGCAATGGTATTGATATTTTTCAAAGTGGTAGTGTTTGTCTAATGGATTGGTACTGATTTCGGTTTTTTTTTTGGCAGAAAGATTGAGAAAAATATGGAAAGGAAATCTGGCTGGAGATTATTAAAAAATTAATTAATATAATTTATTTTTCCATACCCAATTTACCCTTAGTAACCACGGTGATTACTATAAAAAAGTACTCACCGTAACCGCTCCCAATGTCACCTAGATATGCACCCAGGACAAATACCGCCGTGCGAGTCTAGATACAAAGCGGACGATATCCTTACTGTGAAAAAAGGTTCGGGATGTTATAATATTGTTAAAAATTGTTTTTTTTTATTATAACACTCTGAATTCGAATTTCCCACTAAAATAATTGTACGTCAAGCTCGCCAAAAGAAAACATAGATCCAATTTTCAAGCATTTTCTTCGTTTTCAGAGCTCCAACTTGCATGGCTCTCAAATAAACAGATTGAGGTTTTCAGAGCTGCGATCCTTTTTTGCCCGCTCTCTCTTTCCGAATTTATGCCTTCTCATTAAGGCCAAGGCATCGGTCTCACTAGCTAGTGCGTGTATTTATATTTTTGAGAAATGTGTTGTAATTATTTTAATAATCAACCTGCTTTAAAGTAGATTAAGGGCTGAAACCTAGGCAATAAATTGAAAATCCTGCAGGCTTAATCTAATTGTATTATACAACTCTTACCTCAGCCCTCAGATTGCTTGCACGGGGGATAAGGTAATAATATCAGCAATTCGTTTTTAATTTTTTACAGCAAGCAGCAATAGATTATTAAACTATGCTGCAGTCGTAAATAATCATTGCAATGACCGTGTTTGATTTGATGTAAGTGTATTAATTTGTTCTTATGTTCTAATTTATGCATCGTTGATTTTATTTGTTATCGTATAAGGTGGATCGATCTCTAAGAGGACAAGTAGTGTTTAAGTTAAGCGTAGCTACTTGAGGAAATCGTTATGGAAAATATGAGAGAAAACATGCGCGCGAGTCATTTAAAGTGTAGTCATTTCAATTCGTCTTACTCTTTACAAGCGAGATCACATCATTTTTGTCATTTTGAGTGAATATTGATGCGTTTCATTGCGATTACTACTAAATCAATGCAAATTTTGTCGAGTACCGGTCATTACACCGTGTTTTTAACTAAAACATAATGATTGCAAACCCTATAACACACAACCTTCCTCAATCGGACAACTACGTACTATTCTCAACCGAGCCTTTCTTATAACCATCTAGACATACTATAATTGGTTTCGTAAAAATAATGAAATACTATAATTGGTATCTTGTTGAGTAACTAAATTGTGAGCAACGAAATGATCAACAACATACATATAATAATATCCTCTGCCGACATACATTTAAGATTTACCATTGAGAGTTGACTCACCAAATTTAACAACTCATCCTCGTAAGTTACCATTGGGTTGACTCACCCTAATTAAATAATGAAACCATCAACAACTGTCATTAACCTAATCGTTTTATCTTAATTTCTGAGCCCCAAATTTCACATACCTCCATCCATTCAACAACCATCAAATGAGACAATTTGTAACATGGAGAAACTAAAAAAAGTTACTAAAATTCCAGTAATTTGCCAGCTGCATTCTTGTATTTCTTCTCTGCACAAAACAAGAACAGTAGAAAAGAAAAAAAAGGCTGTCTGTAGCTAGTTAACTAATTACTACCAACAGGCTGTATATACTTGATCATCAAATGCCATTCACTTAATCCCATCAGAATGCTGAATTGAGAGGTAGGTTCTTCACATCTCTCTCTCTCTCTCTCTATCTCTAACTGTAGCTTTGCTCTAGGTCAACTGTCTCTTATACACCTTTTTCCACTGCAAGAAAAGAGCAACAAATGAGGGGAAAAAAAAAGAGAAGAAACATCAACAGCAATAAAGTTTAAGGGTACATATAATCAAAGATCATTTTCTTCACTAGGTAGTTGAATCAGATGCATAAATCCAGCACCCTCTTAAAAGTCAGTCAAGATCCTGCCTTTTTTCTTTTTATGGACAGTCAAGATCATGGGTTTTTCTAATTGAATAATTACAACAACCACCCACAAAAATGAATCCTCTCTATAAATGTGCCTATGCTATCAATTGCAGGAGGTAAAAATTGCTCACAAGTAGGGCAATCTCAAGCATATTGGAGATTGTATCCAGATTCTGCATATGGCAGACTAAACATATAAGATAGAGATAGAGATAGAGCCCTAGCAATAGTACTACTGGAATGGGAGAAAATAAGAAACCCCCCTTCATGAAAGCGACTGAACTCACTGAAGAAGATTTGTGTAAAGGAAGAGTGGAAAAGCATATTCCCCTCACTGCAGAAAAGACAATGACAATTAACTCTCCTACCAACTCCTCCTTCCTTTATGCAGCATGGAATAATGCTGCCTTTCCACTTCCCTCTACCTATACTCCCCTCCATTCATGAATAAATGGCAGCTATGCTATCTTCCCTTCATTAATGTCAACATTTCTGTGTGTGTGTGTGTCTATGTGTATGTATGTTGAGAGACAGAAAGAAAGAAAGCTGAGAGCCATACTCACCAAGAAACAGAAACTCTGCACACATCTCTCTGTCACACTATATCTCAGCCAAACAAAGAAAGGTAAAGTGTCTCTGAAAGTTCTTCATCATCAAGCTGACGGCCCTGTGCTCCTTCCCCTCTCCTCACTCCCTGCAGACCTCTCCTGCTGCTGCTGAAGAAACAGCTGTGGCTTAAGCTCCACCACCGCCTGCTGCTGCCCTTGGTACGCGCTAGTACCATGACCAATGTTCCCAAGAGCAAGCGATGCTGATGGCACACCATTGAACCCAGTCGCAGTAACACCACCGCCATCCATCAACCCGATCGCCTCCTGCTGCTGAAACTGCCTCTGCTGCTGCTGTTCATTATAAGCCCTCAACATCTCCTGTTGCTGGGCAGCCTCGTACATCTGCTGCATTTGAAGCCGGTGATGAAATTGCTGCTGCTGCTGCTGAAGTTGGGTATTTTCTCGGATCATAACGGGTAAACCCGACCCGGTCGGAATACCCATCATCGGGTAACTGATCTGCTGCTGCTGCGGCGGCGGCAACATCAAGAGGCCTGAAGCAGAGGGGTTTCCGGGGTAATTTGGGGCGGCGAAATCGGAGGAAGTAGGGAGCAGGGCGTGAGGGCCGATGTACTTGGCGAGCTCCTGTCGGGCGAGGTGGAGGTCCAATTGGAGCTGCTTGAGGCGGTGCTGGAGCTTGGAGATGAAGCCGACGCAGCCGTAGACCGGGTCGTTGAGCCGGGCCTCTGCCTCGTAGGCGAGGGAGTTGACGGCGTCGTCTCGCTGCGCGGCGGGGATCTCGTTGAGCAGCTTGGCGACGTTGCTGGCGCCGAAGACGCGGTGGACGCTGGCGAACTTCGCCGGCTGGTCGGGCGGGAAGTAAGGGGCGAAGACGCACTCCGGCGTGCACTTCCGCCGCAGGAACTTGCACGCCGCGCACGGCGAGCTCTGCGACGACGACATCTTTTTCTCTCTCTCTCTCTTCCTCCCTCTCTCTGGAAACCAAAAAAAAAAAACGATCGATTGAAGACGGGAACAGAAATAATTCAAAGATTAGATGCAGCATTGGGATGGGAGAGAGTTAAAGCTGGATTTAGAGAGAAGCTTCCATGGCGGTTTCCAAGAAAATCCCCAACTGATTGATTTGGGAGATTTTTTTCCCCTTTTTTTTTTAATTGGAAACGAAACGAAAGCTCTCCGTGATTTGATTACAAACTTTCCAAATTTCAAATAAACCTAAAAGGAAAGTCGGAGATAGCTAGAGAAAGTTACCTTTCGATCGTTCCCGTCGGCGAGTGAATGCGGCTTGAAGAGCAAGTCAAGATATCTCTGCTCGTTCTCTCTGCCGCCGCCGATCGCACGTACGTCGGGGAAAAAGGAACTGTTGGAGACGATGCGTCTACGGCGGCGTTTCTCGATTGGAGAAGCGGAGAAAGATTTTTTTGAGACTGTACTACTGCTGCTACGATGCTAGGGACTGTACTGCTTCGCCATGAACGTCGAGAAAGAAAAGGAGAGAGAGAGAGATTCTTATTTGGGAGGGGTTTGATTTTCTTTTTCTTTTTTCTCTCTCACTTTCTCAGGAAACAAACAGCGGCGAAGAGAGAGAGAGAGAGAGAGAGAGAGAGATCTGTGGCGGTGAAAAAGAAAGGAAGAAGGGACTACGTGCGCGAGAGAGGCCGTCGTCAGGCGTAAAGGGAACAGAATAGGAAGAAGAAAGAGAGAATAAATATATATATACCAATTGACAATTAATTAATTGATTAATTTCGTTTAAACTATTAATCGATTCTGGCGTAAGGAATTGTGCATTGTTTTTAGTATTGTAATTCAAAATGCTGGATTTCTTGACAACACCTAAAGTTTCCCAGTTTTACACCAAAATCTCCATTTCTTGCACGTCAAGTTATCCTAACAAATCTTGTTTAGCGCTATTGGCTAACATTGCAACATAAATAGGTCTCCCCATTGATTTGAGAAATATTGGTCTGTCTTTCTATACGAAAACCAAACTAATCAAGTAATCATACATTCTTTTTACGTTACGATTATTGTTGACGGCCAAGTTGTTGAACCAGTAAACAACAGACTTTCAATCCGACGATCCCAATTTTTTTTTTTTTTTTTGAATCTTAACTGCTCTGATCACGATTGATGTTCATCCGCTACTCGTGACGACCTAATGTCTTATTTTCCCGGTTACGAGTAACCTCGGGTTCTGACAACGACTCACAAAAGCACGACTTCGAGTTCTCTGTTAATTAGCAGAGAGAAGGACCTAAGCTCCTACCTTCATCACTCCCCGGACTCTGCTGCTGATGATGATAATTATTATTCGCATCCGGCTGTTCCTGCTGCTCCAGTTGAAAGAACAGTTGTTCCTGAGCAGGAATCTCGACTTGGGATTGATGATGATGATGATGGTGGTTTTGGCCGTGTTCATAACTCCCTCTTCCATCCATGCTCCCAAGGGCCAAACACGGCTCGACATCCCCACCAACACCGCTAATCTCGTTGTCAAACCCATCGTGAATCGAATTATTCCCAACATGATGATGATGATGATGATCTTCACTAATCACACCACTCCCGAACCCAATCACTTCTTGATCATGATTGATATGATGATGATGACGTTGTTGGTTTTGCTCGTACGCCCTGAACATCTCCTGCTGCTCTCTCGCCGCGAGCTCCGTCGCCAGCAGCTGTGCCTCGTAGATCTGCTGAGCGCTGTTGTTGTTGTTGCTGCTGCTGCTCTGCTGCTGCTGGTGGTGATGATGAGCCGCGGGAATTCCCACCATGTGTATCATGTTGTTGTTGTTGTTTTGTTGGAAAGCAGAGTTGTTGTTGGTGGTGGTGTTTGGGATGAGAGCAGGGAAGTGATGGGCCTGAGGGCCCATGTACTTGACGAGCTCCTGCTTCGCGGCGTCGAGATCCATGTGGAGCTGTTTCAGGCGGTGCTGGAGGATGGAGATCTGGCCCAGGCAGCCGTAGACCGGGTCCTTGAGCCGGGCGTCGGCCTCGTAGGCCAGGGAGTTGACGGCCTCCTCGCGGTGCGTGGCCGGGAGCTCGCTCAGCAGCTTGGCCACGTTGCTGGCGCCGAACACCTTGTGGATGTTGGCGAATTTCTGCGGCTGGTCGGGCGGGAAGTGCGGGGCGAAGATGCACTCCTGCGTGCATTTCCGCCTCTGCAGCTTGCACGCCGCGCACGGCTGCTGCGAGTGCGACATCGATCGATGATCACCTGCGACGGGCGGGGGGGGGGGAAAAATTGAATTTTCTGTGAGACATTTCCACGAACAGTTGGAATGCAAAATCGAATGAACGATGATGATGTAGAGATGGGAAATGAACAGCGATACAGAGAGAGATTGGATCGGCACATTGTGTTTTTTGATCTGTGTCGATTTGTTTACCTGATGATGGATACGGAGACGGTGTCTGTAATCAATCGGGGGCATCGTTCGTCGTGGTTCAGATTGTAGAAGAAGAGGGTGCGAGGATGGAGATGAGATCCATTTTCCTGATTGAAACGCGAGGATGCAAGAATGGGGAATTTACTTTTTTGTTTTGTGTGTGTGTGTGTTTTTTTTTTTTTTTTACTCGTTCAGTTTGTTGTTGAGGATTATGACAGAGAAATTCGGTTTTTTTGTTTTGTTTTTCAATTAAGCAATAAATTTTTTTAGTGAGATGAGTTTTTGCATGGGTAAGAAAATGGACATTTCATTTAGTATATTCAATTCTTGTGCGAATTCGAGCATAGTTTTCGCTGGTTTGACTGATCTGTTTAGTATGTAGACTTTTGTGTTTTGCTAATCATACCATCATATTATTCTTAACAAATTTTAATACGATCACAATGTACTTTGTCTATGTTCTCAACCGTTAATCATATTATCAAATTTGGAAAGCAACTTTGCCAATAAGAATTAGGAATGCAACTAGTACTTTTTTTTATAGGAAATCAAATAATTCTATTAAGATCAAAAATAAACTCAACATCAGGAGATCCTGCTTAAAAAAAAAAATCCAAATTGAACATAATTATAGTGATCATAATTGATGAATAGTTAACATAAACCATCGAACCTAAATACGGTCAAACTCCAAACAATCATATTGTGATTTAAAACCCAAACTATTGAGCGAAAAAATGATACCATCAAAACTCTCATGACGCGACACGATAACTCAGATCCTGTACTGAAATATTCCTCTAACATATCACACAACTGATATCCACAAAATAGTCCGAATCATCATGGATCGTTCCTAGTGACGAAATCATCCTACAAAATTCAAGTAAAACTGTAAAAATCTTGTTATATATTTGGCGCTTCAATTCACCTCCTCCTTCTTAACTCCTTGCTGCTGCTTTCCTTCGCGCGATCTCTCCTTCTCCTCCGCCGCCGCCTTTTCTGCGAGGACGTACCACGACGGTAGGCGTAACGTCGGCGACAGCGGCGGCGAATTGTAATTGGGAATCATCACGATTTCGAAATCCGCAGCATCCGGAGGAAGTTCGGCAGCTGCAACTGGTTTCGGCTTTGTTCGGACGGCGCCGGGGATTTTGCCTTGGACGAGCGGTGGCGGCGTAGGGAAATTCGTTCTCCTGGCCATCGGGACTAGAGGGAATTGGAATCTCCGGCGGCAATCAAAGGCGGTAGCTCTCTATTCGTTATTAAGAATAATCTAGCTACTTAATTAGCACTTCTCCCAATTCGACTCGATCTCCTCTTATGGTGCTTTTAGTCTAACTTGAACTCTAGTAGTTTGTTAATTGTCAGCCTCTATCTCCTGTCACGATTCTTAATTAAAAGTTCAATTACGCACAAATATGTTTTAAATTTAAAAACTGATAAGAGTTAAAAAGTTATAATTACATGGGCTATTAAAAGCAGCGGCGGATCCAGGACATAAGAGAGTACTAAGCTGTATTTGAATAGAATATTAGATACCATAAACAAAAATATATAATAATATAGGTTTCATTACAATGCCAATTATACAAGAATATCTTTTAATTTAACAAATTCATCAATATATAATCTCCATCCATACTGATAATATTCTCTTTTTTCAAAGAAAATAGCTAAGTAATCAACGAGAAATTCATCGCTCATTTTGTTGCACAAATCAATGTTCATGTTCTATTGCTGAAAATATTCTCTCCATGGTAGTTGTTGAAACGACTAGGCAACACTAGACAAATCAACCGACAAATCAATTTGTATTGTGTGTCCATCCCTATTTCCTCCTGCTTCTCTAATAATTTTGCAAGAGAAGAAACTTCATCTTCCTCACATGAGAATGGAAAGAAAAACAGCTCGATGGGCTGGCGGAGAAATCCATTTTGGGTTTGCTCGTCTCCTCGTTCTTGTTTTGTTTTGAGAAGATTGAGATTTTTTTTGAATTTTGCAAGGAAGGGTGTGCTTTAGTTTAGAGTTTTTATTTTATTTTAATGAAACTTTACACTTTTTGGTTTTCATGGTTTTTTTCAAATAAAATCATTTGGGGTATAGAAAATTTAGTATAAATTTAGAGTGATGGTTTGGATATGTTCATCTGAACCATTTTCCTAGTTACACAAAATTCTATTATCAAATAAAACTAAACAGGAATTTAAATAGCACAAAGCCAAATACCTAAATCGAAAAAATTTATAAGCACTAAATTAACTCTGGATTCGGAGAAGGGCTGTGCCGGGGCCTGGGTTGGCCCAGCCCTGGATCCGCCACTGATTAAAAGTGATTAGTGTGTCAGTAAAATAAAAAAGTGATTAGTGTGAATTATAGTTGGTTGAAACTTAAAATCCGTTCAATATCCATTTAGCACTCACGCGGCCTTTGTCGTTTTGTTGATTTGTTGCGTCGCATTACTAAATGAGAAATGAATAATATAATTTAGTGACTATAATTTATTAGATTTACGTGTTTCCACATTTTCAAAGTTTTTCAAAATATTATGTGATATCCAGCTGAAAACTAAAATGTACTATTTAGTTTAAAGACTTGTAATACATTTGATAAAAATAGACTTGTAATACATGTTTTGAAAATGAATACCACTTAATGTTGGATGATGAGAAGATGGAATACATGAGTGTGTGATTATGTTTGGAAAGATGTAGAATGGAACACATATTAACGGTAACTAAGGTTCATTAACGTGAGTATCTCACTAATGAAACAATCTAACTTGGAGAGAATAACAAGAAGAGCAAAAACAACAACGAGTTATTTATTTATTCAAACATCTCTATATTTATATTAATGAGTTGACCTTTTTTTTATACTCAAAAGGATACTCCCATCTAATAACTTACAGGTTCCATAAAAAAAAAAAAAAACTTACAGGTATCCAAGTGAAATTGAGAGATTAAGAAAATAGACTGGAGTATTAGAAAAGGAGACCCTTAGAGCAGAAAAAATTTATCTATGATTGAAATAATATGATCTTTTTCCGAGCCTTGATGGTGAGAAAATTTATCTATGATTGAAATAATATGATCTAGTACCTATTGTTTAGTCTCATATCGTTTAGTACCTAAACTTTGTAGAAAGTTACAAACACGTCTACCATTCATCCATTATGTATGGCAAAACTAAATTTTGATACCTTAATAGCTAGAAAATAAAATTTACAACCACGTCCAAAGTTACTGATGCCAATTTAACTTTGCAAACAAAATCCATAACTTTGAAATTGGCTCGAAACGTATTAATTTCTAACTCCTAATATGCCCGAGGCATGATTAGGGTTACGACATCTATGTTAGGTGCTACGATTACTTGACTTCGTATCTCGAAAAGTTGCAAGAAGGTGTAAACCCTTAGGAGAACTAGAGTGTCTTGTAGGATTCACTAACAATTAGACTATGGAGAGGAAACAAAATGCAATCGATCACCTTACGATACATGAAACCTACTATTTCGAATAAAACCAATGCGAAAAACAACAAATAGGCGAGAGTTTGTATTCTCTTAGATCTTTGCAGTGACTGAGGAAACAAGACGTATTGATGTTTGAGGTAGTGTTGGTGAGGATGTATCGACGGGTCCGATTTGAAAACCTCCTATTGTAGTCTAAGCTGGTAGGTAGATTTTAACTTATGAAATGACTGAATCACGATTAAATCACAGTTTCATAGTAATATATCATGCCGCTACCTTTTCACGTACAACCGTTACGGTCTTACAATCCCTATGTAAAATTGTGTCCATCATGAGAAGAAAAATCATATCACAAAGCAATCTAACATCCAACTTTAACAACTCAAAATGCTTGAGCTTTACATATTAAAATGGATCAAGCCACGGACAAGTAAGAGTCATGTTGACTTCAGCACAGATCGTATATAGCCGCCATGGCTGCTGCACATCTATGAACACTCCCACTGCAGCTGTACTGTAGCACTGGCGTCAGAAGGAGGTTACAACTGAGACCTAAAATCAATCCTAAAGTTCTAAGGCAAAGAGTACTACCACAACAATCAAACGTGAACCCTAAAAAAGATTTGAAGTAAATGTTACTAAGTAGGTATATGCATATCAATCTGTGCACTTCTCAATTTGAACTCCGATGCAATTCAAGACTGCTGCCCTGTTTCCGGTGAATCTCGTTTCCATCGCCGGAAGCTGCCTCTTGCTCGTTCTCTAGCTTTCGATGCTCTGTTTCCACGGCGGTGCGTTGGATCTGAAACCGCTGATGAATTCATCTTCGTAAGGCCGCCGCTACCCTGTTGCTCTGCTTCTTCGGGCTTCTCTGCTTTCGGGCCGGTGTCCGCGCTGTCTCCGGCTGTGCTTCCTCCTGTCAAATACGACGGCGGTAGGCGTAAGTTGGGCGAGAACACCGTCGAATTGAAATTTGGGATCATCTCATTCCCGTCGTCGGAAGCTGCCTCTGGCTCGTTCTCTAGCTTCTGATGCTCTGTTTCCGATGTGGGGATTTGAAGTTCGCTGATGACCGACGGTGGATCTGAAACCGCTGGTGAATTCATCTTCGTAAGGCCGCTGTCACCCGGTTGCTTTGCTCCTTCTGGGCTCTCTGCTTCGGGCGCCGTTTCTGCGCCGTCTCCGGCAGTGCTTCCTCCTGTGAAATACGACGGCGGTAGGCGTAAGGTGGGGGAAAACACCGGCGAATTGAAATTCGGAATCATGGTGATTTCGTCGTCGAAAACTGTCCCGAGATCCTTCTCCCGTTCGGCGACAACTTGAAGTTCGCGGATGAACGACGGTAGATGCAAATCCGACGGTTGCTCTGTTCCTTTCTTCGCTCCCGGTACCGTTTCTTTGCCGTCAATCAATGGGAAACCCGAATCTTGTTGCTTGACGCGATTACGGTTAGACCGCGGTTTCTTTACTGGCTTTGCCGCGGCAATGGACCTTTTCCCGCTAATCTGTCCAGGCGCCGGTGAACCCAAATCTCGCCGCCGGTTGTCGTTACCTTGCCCTTCTTCTTCTAGCGGCAGAGGTTCTTGCCCGGCTCCTTTCTTCATGACATCTTCTTCCTCCTCTTCATCATCTGATCGTGTCTGCGTCATCGCCGGCGATAACACGGGAAAGCAGCAGGCGATCCAAACCAGAATCGCGGGCACGTGATCGCCGGCGAATCGGAGCCGTGGAGGAAAGAGCCGGCGGAGGGAGAGTGGAAACTGACGAAT